AGTTTGGGAACCAAGATGCGGATAGTGAGGTGCTACGTTCTTCCAGTGTTACTATATGGAGTTGAAGCCTGGACACTGACGCAAGCCACTGAAAAACGAATCGAAGCCTTCGAGATGTGGATATACAGAAGGATACTAAAAATATCTTATGTGGACCATGTCACCAACGTTGAGGTCCTACAGCGCATGACAAAAGAAAAAGAAGTGCTTAATTTAATTAAACAACGTAAGCTTGAGTACCTATATTAATATATTATATTAATTTTGGTTAAATATCAGAAACATTTGAGTATTTACTGATTACAAATTTAAAAAATGTTAAAACTGCTCTCCTTAAAAAGTAAGAAAATGGACATGGCGTCCTTTACCTCCAAGGTACGGATATATTTCGTATGTTCCGAATTTAACTCGTTCAATAATATTTATATATTCCGCTATAGAATTAATTTGCATTGATAGTAACATGTATTGCTTTTGCATCATCTTAGATTTTCTACGCATCAAAGGTATTTTATAGAAATTAACAATTCATTAACATGGTTTTTATATTAGGTACTTCGAACTCAAACTCAACAAGTAATATAATTGAAATGATGTTTTAGAACAGGCGCTAGAGGTAGTTGAGTATGTATAAAATATATTCTTTTAATGACAGAAATATATAAAAACTTTAGACGACTTCAGAATTCTCGTTAAACTTATCAGATTGATACAGATGACAATGTCAAAAGTCGTATGTAGCGTAAAAATTTAAGATAGCTATCCTAAAGAATTTAACATTAACAGGGGACTGATTTAGGTTAAGGTGTAACTCCCAGGAAATGTCCCTTGCACTCTCACAATGATCAATCAACGCAAAAGAAAGCTCATATCAAAATTTTTGTAACTGTAATTTTTTAGAATAGAATAGAAATAGGCTTTATTGGTACTGAAAATTGTACAATTCATGCTGGAAAAAATATGTACTTAGGTGTTAACGAATTAAGCACATAGTTTCTAAAATATATAAAGAAGGAAGTGTTATATCCCGTCATTTTTTAAGTAGCTTCTGCAATGGGTTGTTCTTCTAAGACCGAACAAATACCGTACTGCTCTTTTTTGTAATTTCACAATAACATCAGATTGGGCAACTGTACTATGTAGAACCCCAAAAAGAAAGAACATGTCGAACATTTGACTCGAACAAAGAAAAATATGTTATTTTGGAAGATTGATTTCCTTCGAAAGAGATCTTAGCATAGCAGGCTGAGGCTAGTTTCTTACGTAACAAATCGATATGAAGGGACAATTTAGGGTTGCTGTCTATAAAAACACAAAGAAGTTTTACAGAATCAACGATACTGATCTGGCTGTTATTAAGAACCAAAGGTTGAAGAGCTCCTTTATAGGATAATGCGACTGTCTTATCCACGTTAAAAGAGAGTAAATTAGAGTCATACCAGGTTTTTATTGTACGTAGATAAGAAGGTATAATTGCATAAAGAGTTGCAACATTAGAGCTTCTCCAGATGGTACTGGTATCATCAGCAAATAGAAAAATTGTTTCATCGATTTTTAAATTAGTGATGTCTTTTATAAAGATCAGGAAAAGTAGAGGATCTAATACTAAACCCTGTGGTCCTCCACATACAATGCTTTTGTGACTAGAGTCAGTATCATTTGCTCTAACCAGTTGTTTCCTATTCCCCAAGTAAGATTGGAACCAATTCAAAGAAATATCTCGAATTCCGTAGAAATTGAGTTTTTTATCAAACTGTCGTGATTTGCAATCAAAAGATTTGGCATAGCTACAACAAACAGTGGCAGTGTAAAGATTATTGTTTAGTGCTTGATAAACCTTATTTAGTACAGAGAACATAGCATTATTGGTACATTTAATAAATAAAAAGTCGAACTGATTTTGTGATAAAATGTTCTATTCACCTACAAATGACATAAGTCGGGCTTTTATAAGTCTCTTAATAGTTTTGGATAGGACCGGTAGTAAGGCAATACTTTTCACCACATGAATGTGTTGCTTGTGTGAGTCCATTTCAAATAGGTAAAGAAATAATAAATAAGACTTACTCACAATCAATTTAATTTAACTATCAGACGACCGGTTTCGCTTTCTACAATATGCAAAGCATCCTCAGGTCTCGATACAAAGTTAAACAAATGCTAAAATAATAAAAACCCATATTAGGGTGTTGTCTACTAACGATAAACAAAGTAGGTGTTGTAAATTACAATAATTATGCCAATATTACATGTCTGTGGTTTTATTTAAATGAGTAAATTGAATAAAAAGGTATCAAATTTTTAAAAAAGTTAAACAGACAAGGTAAGGCCCACAATTTGTTATAAAATAGTCTCTTCGATTGTAATAAATTAATAAATGAGCAAATAAATAAATAAAATAAACATTACTTACATGCCGGTACTCTATTAATAGATGGATGGTAGAACATGGTTGAAACTACTTTATATTGTTGAATAGAAAACTCAATTCTATCACTGCAGTTGTTTGACAGTAAACGGGAAGTTCTTGAGGAGATAGATTTGATCCAATGAATTAGAGATATGTGTGAGATTGTTTGTTAAATGTAAGTGATGTAATATACTATTGTGTTATTAAAGGCTATTTATACTTATTCCAGAGATATATTTTTGAAATGTGTGTTATTTATTGAGTAATTGTTTTTTTGAAGGTGACAGTTTTATGATTATTTTTATGACAATGAATAGGTGTAGATGTAAAGATGTGGGTAAACCCACACAATCTTTACATCTACACCTATTCATTGTCATAAAACTGTCACCTTCAAAAAAACAATTACTCCATAAATAACACACATTTCAAAAATATATCTCTGGAATAAGTATAAATAGCCTTTAATAACACAATAGTATATTACATCACTTACATTTAACAAACAATCTCACACATATCTTTAATTCATTGGATCAAATCTATCTCCTCAACCAATGTTGAGGTTGATGATCTTCTCATATTCTATTTTGTTCTTATTTTTGTATTCTCTTTTATCTATTAATAATTTAATACATATTCATCCAAAATTTACACCCATCCTGATCAAATTGTGGATATTTTCGAATATATTGTTACACGCGTTTTAGATCAATTTTAACCCCGTCTCCGACTTTCTTCAGCCTCAGTTTAAGTTGTGATAAAAGTTGATGTCTGCACTTAGATAACTCTTTAGAACGGTATAACTATTTTTAATTATGATATTTATTAAATATGTAATGAGTTTTTTGGTTTTCTAAACGGTTTCCGTATGTACAAACGTAAGGTTGTAAAAAGTGACAAGTGACATGGAAATGTTTACAAGTGACAAGATTTTCTGATGTAGTTGGATTAAATTCGAGAACCACTTAAAGTAGATTCAAGCATGCTTTTCTACATATTTGATGCCGTAAAATTTCAATCTACACATTTTATAATCTTTATCACTGCTAAAGATGTTTTCATCATGGGAATTTATTATCGTAATATCGTAAAACGTCTGAATGCTATGGTTTGTGTTTGGAAAGTTCCGACAAGAAAATATCTAATTGATGGATTCGACCGTTACTTGATGGAAATTCATTTTATGTAACAATAAAACACTGAAAAATTTGTTTTCAAACTTCCACAAAATTTATTTAAACTATTATCACTACAGCTGTTTCGACTGATTGCCTTTCTCAAGCGATCTATTTTTGGCATGCGTTTACAATTTATAGTCTCTAATGAAATAGGTTGAGGAGGGGAGAACTGTTTGTCTCAAGTTGATCATTCAGAATTATATCTGTGTTTTTTAATTTGTTGATTTCCATAGATTCTAACAAAGATAGCTTAAGGCCTTTATTTTGAATGTGAAGAATTTTAAATTTGTCATTAAAAGAATGATTATGATCTAGAAGGTGAAGTGCGTATGTCGAATCTGTTTTTCTATTATTGAAAGCCCTTTTATGTTCTGCTATTCGTTTATTAAAGTTTCTACCAGTTTGACCGATGTAAGTTTTTGGGCAGTCGCCACATTGAAGTTTGTACACACCACTATTTAAGTGTTTTTTATTTTGGCTCTTGTTATTTTTAATATATTTGCCTAAGTTGTTATTTGTTCGGAAACACATAAAAAAGAAAGGAATAACACCAGCTTTCCGAACAAATAACAACCTAGGCAAATATATTAAAAATAACAAGAGCCAAAATAAAAAACACTTAAATAGTGGTGTGTACAAACTTCAATGTAACGACTGCCCAAAAACTTACATCGGTCAAACTGGTAGAAACTTTAATAAACGAATAGCAGAACATAAAAGGGCTTTCAATAATAGAAAAACAGATTCGACATACGCACTTCACCTTCTAGATCATAATCATTCTTTTAATGACAAATTTAAAATTCTTCACATTCAAAATAAAGGCCTTAAGCTATCTTTGTTAGAATCTATGGAAATCAACAAATTAAAAAACACAGATATAATTCTGAATGATCAACTTGAGACAAGCAGTTCTCCCCTCCTCAACCTATTTCATTAGAGACTATAAATTGTAAACGCATGCCAAAAATAGATCACTTGAGAAATGCAATCAGCCGAAACAGCTTTAGTGATAAGATTTAAAATAAATTTTGTGGAAGTTTGAAAACAAAGTTTTCAGTGTTTTATTGTTACAAGAAAATATCTATTTCGGGATGTCATTTGGATGCTCCATCCTTTGCACACATTTTTTGTCTTATTTGCCATTATCACAGTTCTTAAGTGGTTCCGATACAGCTCACAGATTTTGTACTATTTTTTTTTAAGTTGCATATTTATCATGAATAAGATTGCCTGAACTTATAAAAATTAACAAAATGCGGTCCTCATATTTTGCACACTCAACTCGATAGCGCTCCCAGTCTATATATCAAAGTACAAGTATCTATTACAGTGTCTGTACACAGTATATCGGCGTAGCAACTTCTCTGTGTTTTAATATTTGATTCTTTATTGTCGAATATTTCAAAATGGCTTTAATATATGCGCCCTTATTTTTGTATTTGGCGTTGTTGCTGTTTTATATCTACACAATGCAATATTTTATGGAATTGGATATACATTTAAATATAATCGATGATCCCGAGCTCCGTTTTTTAAAAACATATAATTTGTGTTATTTCACTATTTGGAATTTTGTAAGTACATATATTTGAATATTACAGCCTAATATATATATATATATATATATATATATATATATATATATATATATATATATATATATATATATATTAGTTACAATTTCGTACTATGCTAGAGACTCAAATACAGTGGGACGTACATTACATATCGACTCATGCAACGAAAACTGTAGTAAGGATACTTTTGAGAAAATTAATTTACAAGTATAAACACTGGTTCTTCTTCTTCTTCATGTACCATGTCCTTTCAGAACGTTGGTTACCATCATAGCTATCTTAATTTAATTCACTGCCATCCTAAATAGCATGCTTGTATCAACACCATACCAATATCGCAAGTTCTTCCACCATGAGGTTCTTCTTCGTCCTGGATTGATTAGCAGTTTCTAAAAGATCCAAAAATATACTGTTGAAAACAAAACTTTTGTAGGTATGTTTATTTAAATGCAGTTCTCAAAATTTATCACCAAAAAATTATATTTTTTCCTAATATATTCTGATTTTTCATTTGAGTTACTACATTTTTCGTCGGAACAAGTTAGGGAAAAAATGTCATACAATCATTTTGAGAGTAACATTTTAATACGAACTTTATAATTATATCTTAAATTTCACAAAATAGTTTAAGTACATTTATTTCTATTCAAAGTCATCTTCTTTAGATTAGCTGCTACTAGATCTTTTAAAGCCTTGATGTATATTATTCATCTGTGCTCCCTCCTTTAACCGTAAAGAAAAAAAGAAGTTATGGCACAAACGCGGTATTGAGGGTGGATCACCTCTTCTTCTTCAAGTGCCATCTCCGCGGCGGAGGTCGGCAATCATAGCTATTCGGATTTTTGAGACGGCTGCTCTGAAAAGTTCATTTGATGTACATGACATTCTACGCCTCCCTATGCTTCTCTTTCCTTGGATCTTTTCCTGCATAATCAGGTGGAGCTAGGTATATTACTCTCCACGTGTAATATGTCCTAGATATTCCAATTTTCTTGTTTTAATTGTATTTAAAATTTCTATTTCTTTATTCATCCTTCTCAGAACCTCTTTGTTTGTGACGTGTTCTGTCCACGATATTTTCAGAATTCTTCTTTATACCCACAGCTCGAATGATTCCAGTTTTTTCATTAATGTCGCATTCAAGGTCCAAGATTCCATTTCATAAAATAAAGTCGAAAAAACATAGCACCTCGCCAACCTAACTCTTAGTTCCAATTTTAAATTTCTTGTACATAGCTCCACAATAATTTGTGGAGTTAATCATTGTTCCCAGATATGCATATTTATTTATCCACTTGTTCGACTTTGGTTCCGTTTATTAGAAGATTCTTGTTATTTCTTTGAGTTTTCGATATTCCCATAAACTTCGCCTTCTTGACATTCATTGTTAGACCGTATTCTTTTCCATATTCCGCTATTCTGGTCACCAGTCTCTGAAGATCTTCAATTTTTTCGGCTAAGACCACAGTGTCGTCCGCATATCTAATGTTGTTAATAGAAACTTCATTTACCTTTATTCCAGTTGTTTCATCCTCAAGAGCATTTTTCAGGATCTCTTCAGAGCAGGCATTCAAAAGAATTGACGACAATACGTATCCCTGTCTTACTCCACATCTAATTTAAATTTCTTCTGACAGCTGTTCGTTAACACGTTGTTTTGCTCGCTGTTGATAGTATAAATTTGATATGATCCTGAGGTCGTTGAAGTCAATCTTCTTTGATTTCAGGACATTTATTAATTGTTTATGTCGTACTTTATCGAATGCTTTATTATAGTCAATAAAACGTACGTATTTATCTTGATTGATGTCCAGGCATCTTTGTATCAGTATATTAAGTGAAAAAAGAGCTTCACGCGTTCCTAGACCTTTGCGAAAACCAAATTGTGTATCATTAACGTCTATGTCCAGTTTGTGATATATTCGGTTATGGATGACTTTTAGTAGTAACTTTACCACTTGAGACATGCTAATGGTGCGGTAATCGCTGCATTCTCTTGCGTTTTTCTTTTTGGGGAGACAATAAAAATCAACGTTAACCACTCTTTGGGTAATACGCCTGAACTATAAATTTGGTTAAAGATTTATCACTAAAACATTAATGTGCTTTTAATCTAGAATTTTTATAATTTCTATATTAAGCATGTCAGGTCCAGAGCTTTTCCCACTCTTCATTGTATTTATTGAGTGCAATATTTCTTCTTTTGTAATATATGGACCTATTTCTTCTGACATAAGTTCTATGTGCTCCAGATCTCCTCTTCCATCATCGAAAAATTCGTCGATATATTCTGCCCACCTTTGTACTTTCTCGTCCATATGTGTTATAGTAGTCCCGTGTCTATCCAGAATTGCACGAGTGGGATTTTGTTTTCTTAGCCCTCACCTCTGCAAAGCTCTAATAAACCTTTCAATGTCTTACTATCAACAGGTAGAGGAGAAGTATAAAGTTTCGGCAACTCAGTGGAATGAGTTTGAAGTTGACTACGCCTACTTTTTTTTCAAATATAGAATTCTTGGGGTTTCTGCAAAATCGTATTTAAATTGAAAAGTATTAGATTGTTCTGGTAGCCACAAAAATTTCCACGGTTTAATAATTTTTACTGGATTAAAAGTTTCGTCCATTCTCCAGTTCTGATTTTTTACCACGTCAGAAAATTTTACAAAGTCTGCTTGGGACATTTCTTTTACTGTCTAGGGTTGGCCAGTTACTTTCACCATTTTTATTAATGTGATTTATTGACTGGAGTATAGACAGCACCCTGTCGCTTTTTAGCTCCCTCTATTATTGCATGCATGCTATCTTCTTCATTCTGATTATACTCCTTCTCCAAAAGCCTGTGTGTTATTTTTATGTTGAGAATTTTAGAAGCATATACAAACATGGAGAAAATAAAACGGTTTCTATTTTGCCCCACATAATTGTCTCAGTATAAGATGACACTTTCAACCCCTTTAGTTTTTTGTGTCCTCAGAAAGTCTGACAAGCAACTTCTAATTTCATTTGGTCCCTGTTTTGCTACCTCTTCATACCAAACGTAACAGAATCCTTTATTGTTACCTATGTCGTAGACTAAAATTATAGGTTGCAATTTTACTTTTATAATAAAATGTACTTACTTCTGATTGAAGGGTAACTAATACCTTTTGCAGGTCAAAACACGCAACACATAAAGTTTTATCCTCAGTATCTGTTCTTTATCCACATCTTTTAATTTTCGGACTGCAATTTTGTTAGCTAAGTGTTGATCATATTTTTCTTGCAATTTCAATGTTATGTCATTATCAGCATCTGTACAATCCGTGCATAGTTAACACTGATTCTTTTTTGGTTTAAAGAATGCTATATTAAATTCTGAGTTGAAAATTTAACGATATTGCCGTTTACTTGAAATGTGTACTGAATGGGTCCCAATATCCTCTTTGTACATTCTGTACATTTTTTTGAATGTTTTCTATTATAATAGGAAGGAACTAATGGAAACAATTTAATATGAGTTCTCACACTTTCCTTAATATTTTCTGCAATTTTATCGGGCCTTACAGTATGGCCCCGCATATCCTTTCCTACAGTGCCACCTTCTCCTCTTTTTTTCAAGGCAGTTGTAACCCAGGTTTCCGATAAAATTATATTCTCGGGAAACATTGCGTCTTGACTCAGTTTTCTTTATTACCTGTTTCTTTTCTCTTTGATGAGCACATTTTGTGATGAAATCCCATTGTCTGGTATGATCTGCTAGCCCCTATAATTTTCAAATATTTTTTGCTCTTATTCTTCGAAATTTTTTTCGTGCATCCATTTCTGCAATTCTCGTTGCATGGTGCTATCACGATCCTAGGTGTGATTACTTTGCCTGCTCTATTTTCATGTTTATTTCCTACATTTAGGACAAAGTTCTTTTTTAGCCTTATTGTCTTTCCACTCCTATTGATTTCTTATACGCTTTCTTCCTTTTGTGTTTGTCATTGCCATTTTTCTTTTTAATTTAGATTTATTACGACTATGATGTTTTTGAACTTCTGATTCAGCATTATCATCAGTAGAAACATAATGTGGATCCTCATCAGAACAGTCGGAATTTTCGATATCATGATAATTGAATGGACATTACTTCTCTGCATAATTAATATTTTTATTCAACACCTCAGTTATCACGATATAATTACTTTCTATCTTTCCTGTTGGTTTCACAGGTATTGGTTAAGACAGTTCAGTAACAATTAGAAACAAGAGTTGAAACTATATGGCTCCTGAACTATATTGTATGATATTTCTGATAGTCATAAGAAATCAGATATAAACAATACCTACTAGGTATTAATAGCTTTTATGATGGCAAAAAGAAATTTGTGTTACCAAAGTAATAATACCTATTATTGCTTTTGTATCTATTCTTACCAGGGTCAGGTTGTTCACTAATTTTCTCCATAATAGATAGATAACTCCAATATACGTTTAATTCTATTCATATTTGAAACTGCAAACACTCTTCACAAAAAACTCAAGCAAATATTTTTGTAGGTGCATAACCTCAAAAAGTTATTCACGAAAATGCAAACAAGTCAATAGTAACTCAAAGAAGACACAGCACTATCTAGATATTTTGCAAAGAAAACTGTAGTAGCTCAATATACGATAAATATTGTTTAAAAAATGATGATTATGGCGAAGATTACAGTAACTGAACTTAATGCAGTAACGCGTTGAAAATGGTAGGTTATTTGCGATACTATAAAAATGAATTGTGTATCTTAAGTTGCCTATCTAGTCGCTGAGTTACCACAATATTCTATGTTACAGCTACGTATAGAATAATAATTCAGAAGAAGATAGTAACTCCAATTATACAAAAATTGAGTTACTACAATTTTCGTAGCATGAGTCGATATGGAAGAATGAAAACTAATATACCGGGTGGTGAATCGTCACACGGGCCATAGGAAAAGGAAACTCAATGGGAAATTCTAAAATATTGAATTCCAGCTTTCCTAATTATTTTACATCAAAAGTCATAAGAAACTATTTGTAGAGGACTGAAACCTGTATTGAAACAAATGTTAAAATTATTCTACGAATTAAACACATTCCAAAATTTTGCAAATAAAATTTGCCAGGGTATCTTTGCCACTTTTTCTTTTATGGCCTATCCAGAAGTATTTTCCACGTTTTTAATAAAAAAGACGGCTTATTGGTCTATATGACTTTGATGTTGGATCTGATACTTAACCTACCTTGGGCAAGTTTATGACTTTTGCTGTATTTCCGGTACGATCCTCCATGCTAAAACGGATTTGAGAATCTTGCATGTGTATGGTATCAATACCTCTAATCCCATATGCAAAAGTATTGGATATATGCCATCTGTACCTGAAGATTTATATGATTGAAATTTATTTACAGCCCATCTAATTCTGCTTGGTCTTGTGATTGCTGTGGCTATTTCCCAATCTATAGAATTTGGCCTAGTTCTACTAGACCTAGTAGGGAACCTACTTCTTTAATGGTAGTTACCATATTTTGTCAGGACTTTAGGGATTCGAGAGTAGGTCGGGATATCTATAATCTCCTCGCAAAATTCTCTCCGTAAATTCTTTTTGACTTTGTGAATTTCTTTATTGTATAGCGTTAGTTTATATATAGCCGTAAGCATCCCAGTTTTGGTTACTTTTGGGTGTGTTAAATAGGCTTCGGACTTCTGCCCTTAGCTGCTTTAAGCCGTTGTTCCACCAGACTGATTACTGCCCGTATTCTTCCTTGTTTATTCCCGACAGTTTTCATTATAAACCGCTATAATAGTTTCGCTTACCGTCTCTGCTGCCGAATTTATAGCCTCTATGCCTTTAAACAAGCTCCTACTTTCCCCCAGATTTCTACTGACGGATTCTCTATGCTCTACCCAGTTTGTATCTCTAGCATTTCTGTATTTTATTTCCGATGGAACTAAATTGCGTATATGTTTGTGATCCGAACATGAGGGTTCATCAGACACATACCAATTTGTTATAATATCACTTACTTTGCTTGTGCAAAGTGTTAAATCTAACACTTCTTTGTGTGCTATAATGACAAAAGTGGTTTTTTTCCTATATTGGCTATAATTAAACCTTCAGATGGGATCGCTGTAATGCTTGGTGGACCTAGAGCCTGAGCACCCGGAAAGTAGGCTGAAAACACCACCAGTTTCGTCTCTATTACTTCCGTGGCTATAGTTAGAATGCCTGTAAGAATATCATCGGTGTAGAGCACCGTGATTAGTGCATTATCTACTCTGTTACTGTGAATTTGAGGACCTTATTTCTATCTTCACTACGAAGAATTGCCCGATTCTGGTTCAGTGGACTTTCTGTCGTCTTCTTGGACGGTAGTCCTTACGAGTGGGCTGGTTTCGCTGAAGAAGGTCCTTCCTCTTCCTGGACCTCCATATGTAGGGAAGTTTCGCCTGTTTTATTGAAGTGATTTACTACTCGCTTTTCCTCAATTTTTTTTGTTTTTCTTTCTTTGCATCACAAAGTTAACTTGCCCACTCCGAACAAGGGTAACATATTGAATTTATAGAGCCTTCTCGAGATTCAGAATCTATTGAGAAGATCCATAAAACTCCTTTGTCTGAAGGTTTGCTGCTTCCCCAGACTGTCCATAGATGTGTCCTGAGCTCATGGTTACTTATCCTTAGTCTACTAAGGATCGTTTTGCAGTCAAGACGTTCTCCATCTTCATCCTATACGAATACAGTGCATGAGTGCGTCCTGAGTATATCTTCCCCCTCCAAAGCCTTGAGGGATGCATTCTCTCATGCCTCGGGGTTGAAAAATAAGTAAAAATAAGATTAATGTCGAGTTTTAAATATTATGTACTGGACTGCATTTACACTTTATTTGACACAAAGTGCACAAAAGTTTTGATTAAAGTTTCTATAAATATTCGATCCAAGCTTTTTTATCTATTAAGAAGAACACATTTATTTGAAAAAAACGTCATCCTCAGTAACAAATAAATTTAAGTGTAATTTGTGCCTCTGGCGTAGTACACTTGAAGCACAATCTCAATTGAATGATTGTACTGTATTTATTTTTTAGATTTTCCAAATTATATTTATATTACTTGTACTATTGGACGAGTCCTTAAAGATATTTTGTAACCGGAAAAACTTCAGCACTGTGTTAGGAAAAGTCAGAGCTCTCTTTTTCCATTCCGCTATTTTGCCATCATCAGTAATGGTTGCTTGCTTTTTTTGGATATTATGGAATATTAACGAAGATTTAATGATGCCGAGGAGCGTTTCCAAGATTTTTCCATTGTGGTTGAATCACGTCTTACACAGTTCTGTTATTATTGCTGTGGTTATAGAGTTAATATTACCGAAACGTGATAATTTTGTAGAATTTAAGAGCACGGTACCTATTGTTCTAATTATTTTCTTCTCCTATAATATTGTGTAAGTACATTTTGGTTAATGTTTAGTTAATTTAAGGGGGAGTTAAAATTAAAATAACCTTTCATTTATTGTAATATTTCCTATACAAAGGCCAATAATGTACACTTCCTTATCAATTCGTTCAAACAAAATTCAGGTCCGTATTAATCCAATATTAGCAGATAGTATTCCCAATAATAATACAATTAATAGTTCAATGAGACGAAGGAGACTTATTATGCAAGGTAATTTAATATATTGGGTATTTCATTGTAAATATGCATTGTTAGGCCAGTATAGGAAAACAAAGCTGAAAAAACCTTATTCTAGTTTTTGAAGGTTCGAAAAGGTATATGAGGGGTATCTGATGACAATTATGTGAAGACATACAGCTCATTTTGCTTTTAAACAATCATAAAAAGTGAAAAAATTCATTTTTTGACTATAAAACGTTGCTTACACATTTTAGAGAAGAATTGTTCAAATAAAAATTGTAGATCTTGAAAAGTTCTTTGATTAGCGGGTTTCTAAATTAAATTAAAATAAAAATACATAAACAATTGACATAACGTCATATAATGTAACTATTTGAAATTACTCTGCCAATTAATGAATTATTGAAAGGTGCTAAATCTCAGCTAGATCAACAAAATAGTTTGTAGTTATTTAGTAGTACAATTATAAACTCATTTATTAGACCACCAATATCATGATAGTAGACCAAATCCCCTTCCTTCATAAAAACTGAGCAAACTGTTGATCTCTGTACCTGTACTAGTAAATAGATGTAAGAGGCGACAACAAATTCTTTTCTTTTAATCTTGAACCAAGCAATTGTGATTTTTCCTGTATTAAACCCAAATCTCTTAATAAGTAATCTAACTCAGCTTGTGTAAACAACTGTGGTTGTAAATTTTCTGAAGGACACTGAAATTCACCATCACTTCCTAGATCACTTTCATCAGATTCTATTTCACTAGTATTTAAGATGTCATCAATACGTAGAAGAGGCTTAGGAACTAGTAGTTCAGGTCCATGCTCTACCGAACGGATAGCAGATGGGAGGTTAGGATAAACATTCACTTTCTTATTTTTGGAGTTATATCCAGAAACATCAATTCCTTAAATCCTCAACACAGACATAACATACATTGTGAATAGCCCAACCTTTGTCTTGGTCACCAATTTTCACACCAAAATATACATATTTTTACAGTCATGTTTATCTGATGCTTTTTAATAACACAATCACCACACAAAGTAACAAAATGTATTTGGACAGTTTTTACAACCACTACTAGCGACACTTAAAAGCGTATGAGTCAAACACTGAAAATTGATGTTATGTTTATTAGAATAAAGTAACTATATAGCTGTTAAAACAAGAGGAAGAAGAACAAAGAGTATTGTAAATTCATTAACAGTGCTATAAACCAAGTAACATTAGATTTATGTACTCGTCAAACAAACCAAAATGTAATTATGCAATTTTAAATGTTAAATTGTGAAAGAATTTAGGGTGATACAGCATTTTTAGTATGATTTTCGGACTCGGCACACTAAATTACATAAGATAGAGGTAATTTTATCAAAACAGTTTTCTCATCGTTGACCTGTGTTATTTAAACATCCGTATTTGCCCAAAAAGTGACTCTAGATGTATTTAGCAGGTCGCAATCAATTCCTTAAAGTTTCAATTTTAAGATATATTAAAAAAATTTAACATTTTATCAAATTTGTTATTAAAAAAACCATTTGCAAAATGACTGACTTTTTAGCTTATAAACATTTATAATAACTTTCATAATATTATGTCACGTGCTCGTAAGTAGGTCACTGAAAAGATAGTGAAAAAACACAATCTAAAAAAAAGATTCCATGACCAATAGGACCTAAGATGGCAATTTTTTTCTTAAAATCATATTTCTATTGTTTATTAACATGAAAATTTAACAAATTATAAATGAAGATATATATTCATTTATTATCATATATATCCATTTTATATACGACATATACCAAAAAGGGGTAAGAAGCTATCACCCGTTGACGTGATACCTTTAAATACTTGTAACTCCATACTCGTAAAATATCGAGTGTCCGAGCTCCGTTTTTTTAGAATGGAACTTCAATTTAAAAAAATGTAACAGGAAACGAAAATGTAGTTTCATCTCTCGGGAAAATCAAAGAATCCCGGAAAAATAATTAGTTAACATTTTTCGTAAATAAGTTGAATTTTACTATTATTTATGCTACTCCTTATGGACAGCCTCCACCTGCCTTTATTTTAATAGTTGCTTTACCTAAAGTGGATATTACTATCCTATTCTCCAGGGAAGCTCTTATCCATACGCATATTACTTTAGGTGTGCCTCTTCTACTCATTGCTTTAACCAAAGAGTTGATGGAAACATTATTAAATGTCATTTCTATCTCTTTGTCTTCTGTTGAATTTGAGATAAGCTTATTTAGATCATCCAACACTGAGTCCGTAGATTAACGAGGTTGGTATGCACATTGACGATTGTTTAGAGAATTATCTTTTAGCACTTTTTCTATTATGTATCTATCCATAAGTATTTCCAGCGTTTTTAATAGAAAAGACGATAGGCTTGTTGTTCTATATAAGTTTGGTGTTGGATCTGATACTTTACCTACCTTGAACAAGTATATGAGTTTAACCTTTTGCCGTATTTCCGGTACGATCTCCATGCTAAACTGGATTTGGGAATCTTGCATATGTGTGGTATCATTACCTCTAATCCCATATGCAAAAGTATTAGATATATGATATCTATCCTTGGAGACTTTTATGGTTGAAATTTATTTATAGCTCATCTAATTTCGCGTGGTCTTGTGATAGCTGTGGCTATTTCCCAATCTATAGAACTTAACCTAGTCGTATTTGGTCTATGTTGGTTCGCCTATCTGCATCGTTCAGAATTGTTAAAGCCGGAAAGTGCGTGTTTATGAGTTCTCTAAGACTTTTCTGTTTGATCTCAGTACATTTGCCATTAGTTTTCTTTAGGAAACCTACTTCTTTAATCGTAGTACCATCCTTTGCCAGGACTTTATGGATTCGAGAGCAGGGCGGGATATCTGTAATCTCCTCGCAAAATTATCTTCATAAATTCCTTTTGCCTTTGTGAATTTCATTATTGTTTAGTGTTAGCTTATAGCTGTAAGCATCTCAGTCTTGGGTTAGTTTTGGCTTTGTTAAATAGGCTCCGTACTTCTGCCTTCAGCTGCTTTAAGCCCTTGTTCCACCAGACTGATTTTTCTTCTTCGGTGCCTTATTCGGTCAGGATGTTGGCGATCATCAAGGCTATCATGGTTTTGTTGACTGCTCTGCGTTGACCAAACTGATTACTGCCCGTATTCTTCCTTGATATTTCCGGACATTTTTCATGGTAAGCCGCCATAATAGCTTTGCTCACTGTTTCTGCTGCCGAATTTAAAGCCTCTATGCCTATAAACAAGTTCGTACTTTCCCCGAGATTTCTACTGAGAGATTCTCTATGTCCTAGCCAGTTTGTATCTCTAGCATTTTTGTGTTTCATTTCCGATGGAAATAAATTGAGGTCAAATTGTATATCTCTGTAATCCTAACATGAGGCTTCATCAGACACATACCAGTTTGTTATAATATCACTTACTTTGCTTGTGCAGAGTGTTAAATCTAACACTTCATATAACACGCCATAATATGTCTTCGTTACCGAACTGAATGAAAAATAACTAACAGAATACATACATTAAAGGAAATTAAAAAAATAAAAGAATTTTGTCAATAAAAGAGTCGATTAGTAACGATTGTCAAAATTTAAAATTCATAAAAAATTACATCCGATTAATAACAATGTTGAATAATCTGTCTAAATTTTTAACACAGTTTGCATTTTAAAATAATTTCATATAAATACAATTTTTTTTAAACATATTATTTGAGGCGTTGAGCGCAAAAGTGGCCCAAGCCCAAAATATTCAACACGGAGCAAATCGCAAAAGAAATTTTGCTCTTTTTTTGAATGCAAATTAATGTTTCTAAAACTTAAATTATATCATTTATTTTTTTATGTTTGTATATAAAATGATATTAGGTATGGAAATATTACTTTTGTTGCATGTAATTAAAAAAATATAGATTTGATTGTGGTTTGGGCCACTTTTGCATTTATGGTTTTGTTATAACTTATCAAAGCAATAAGGGCTTGTGATACGAAAAAAAAGGAAAATACAATTATTTAAATTTATTTAAGGCAAATAAACTTTATTTACAATATTTTTTAATTGCATCATCTGCTATTGCGTCCAGGTCCTCTGCAGCACGTTCACTGTGTAGCAGTAGTTTATAAAATTCGTGATGAAGGGGAGGAATATAGTCAAGTAACGCTAGCAAATCTTTGTATTTTGCTACTTGTATCGGCCTTGGTCCTGCAAATAATCGCTGATTAAATGTGGCAAGTTCCAAAAAGTTTTTCTTGTCCCGTTTTGTCATGTTAGCTTCATAAAAAAAAACCTCTTCGTTGTTGGAATATTTGAATTTAAAAAATCCAGGTTTTTCCTTACTGTAGCGTAGCCACTGTATGCGCAACCACTCTACTTTTTCTCCTCTTTCAGTTGTTTTACGATGCGTTAACGCCTTTTCCAAACCTTGCGTGGAAAAAAAATCTGTGGATTTCATTGCGACCACATGGAACTTATTCTTTTTTCGGGTGTCAGACACTACTTGCATCCAGTCACTAGGAACATAGATGTTTTTATAGTGCTTCTTGTTCTTCTCAATAAGTCCGAAATCTTGGTCATTCGGTAAATATGAATGTCCAGAGACTAAGAATTTATGATCTATACTTTCTACTGTAAATTCGTTGCTTGCAACAATGTAAGTACAAAGGGCAGCCATTTTAAAGTTTCTGTTCTGCCCTCCACATTGATCACTGTACATAATCAATTTTTTCGTTCCAACATAGTTCTTTATGTAATGTGCAATGCAGGATCCAATTTCTTGGGATCCACGTGAA